CTTTCCCTAAATTTAAAAAAAATTAAGATCTCTGCATCGATTTCACTGCATTTATGGCCCATGTCTGTAAACACATATAGAAGATGAAGATCAAACAAGCAGTTGAATATAGCAACAGCTATGGCTACTTGCTGCTTTCCCAGAGCAATTTCCATGGGAACAGAAGCTAAAGCAAGGTAGCTTGAAAGCTATACGTGAAAAATTTTCCTCATTGATTTTTAAAAACTTTTACTTCAGTTTTATGAAATTAAATTTGAAAAAGCTGCAATAGGGCATGAACAAGGCATTAAAAGAATATGTAACAGTTTCTACATCTTGGGTTCACCCATGTGTTTCAAAGGCATTTGCTGCCAAGGTTCTTTTTTCTTTCATCTAGTCATAAGATGATGTTCTCTCCCTTTATTAAACCAAATTAACCTCTGGTAAATTAGGGTAAAAATCACAGAAAAGAGACTAGTGAAACATAGGGTAACTTTCAGCAGCTGAACAGTCCTACTGACTCCAGTGTGCCTAGGAGCTGGATGCACTGCTGGAATGGGGTGTTTCTAAACAAGCCAGCCCTGCTGTCCTCCCACACCTCCCACCTGCAGAGGTGAAGCCATGCCTGTCCTCTCCTCCTCCATGTAAGAGCATTGCCTCCCCTCATAGCCCTTCTATCGTTGCTTTTGCAGCCTGTGAGAACAAAGGAGTGCCATGCACTTACCTGCCAGCACAACAGCCAAGAAACACAGGCCCCTGAGCCGCTCCATGGTTGAAGGCTGATTCCTGGAGGCACCTGGAGCCTTTTATACAAGGCAGGGCACAATAAGCACTTGACTTGATATGTAAGAAACAAACACTGCTGGCATTTTTCTCAGCATTTGTATCTTACATGAGATTAATTAGAACATACGAACTTGCCTGTATTTAAGAACATAGATAAGCAGATAAGATCAGATGTAGCCAGTAATTTGTCCAGAAACTTTGCGCAACTTCTTAATTCCAGCTTTGAAAGAGAGTGACTTTCTCATAACTTCTTAGAAAATTAAATATTTAGAGACCATCTTCATTTTTTTTTAAACAAACATCTTCAGACAATCTGAGTCCAGTGCTCACCTTTTTTTTTATTTCATATTATCTTTTGTCACATATGTAGTTTTATAGTACAAATTAAAAGTTTGGAGAAAAACAAACTGCTGAAGAATTCTCCATTAAAACAAGACACTGATACTGTCACCTTTACTGAAAGACAATTTTGTTCCAGTTATTTGATGGCAAGAACTCTGAGTAAAGCTGTGTTCTATAACAAGGTCTGTTTAAGGTGAAATTCTTCCTGGAGGAAAAAAGAATTAAATTTTTTCTACACACACATTATCCAAGTTATATTGCTGCCTATCAGGAGATGACATCACAAATCAAAATGTCTGTGCTCTGGCATCCCCAAAGAGAAGCATCTGCATAGTCAAGACTGTTGCCACAACAGCCCCTCACCTCATCATGTGGTCTGTGGCAGCAGAGCAGCCTGACACCCAGAAGTCTTTTCTTAGCCTTTTAAGGACTTTCGTCCTGCAAAACACAACATTCATATGAATCTTGCACACCTACAAACACTGAAAAACCTCAGCTACCCAGGAGTCCCAGATGACAGCCAAGAGTGTCAAGCTGCACAACCAGGGGTCACTAAGCTTTCAGCACCATTTATGCAGGTTGGCACAGTGTGTGGCCTTTACCCATGGGGCCAGGCAGAACAGGGAGCAGACACACAGTCTCACAGAGTCTTGCAAATCCAGTCTCCACTGGGAGCTCAAGGCTGTGATATAGTCCCAAATCTTTTGTGTGCCCACTCCTTGAGTAGTCAAAAAGCATGATAGATGAGCACTAATTGGTACTGCTGCTGTTTATTTTCACTAGCCTCTACATTGTTTCTTAATATGTATTATTACTAGTTTCTGCCAAAACTTGGAATAAATCAGTAACCTCAAGTCACAGGCAGCATGTATTTTGATCTCCTTTCAAGCTGAGCTAAGAAGGAAATAATTTGTCTAAGATCAGCAAGAGGCATCAGAACTTTAATTTGACAGAACATATGGAATAAGGTACAACCTACTATTTCTTAGGAACAGGAGCCATCTGCTTAATTTTAACTCTGTACTGTACTTAGTATTGAGGGAATCCTACTAGGGTTTCTATCTAAGTACAATCAAAACACAAATAATGGCCAACAAAAACACATGTTTAGGCTATAAGAGCAACCTATGGGCTGTATTACTTAGCAAGCTATTCCACTGCACTGTGTTAAATTCTGCATTTTACATTTTAGGCCTTTACAAGGGAAGCAATTTTTTTTTAATAAAGTATGATGAAAAAGGCAAAGAGAAACAGTTCACATTCACATCTTTATTTAAGTGTTTACCTACATAAGCTATAATTTACACACTGATTTTTTATTATTTTTTTTGGGGG